GCGCCCCATAGTGTTAAAGAACATTTATTACTATGTTCTTACCATTTATATTATACACGTTTTATTTCCATTTACTCGATTTGTAAAATCGTATTATAAATGTATTATAAATAATAATTGGCTGATGTTATAAATGCTGATGTGACAATTTTAATNGGCGCCCCATAGTGTTAAAGAACATTTATTACTATGTTCTTACCATTTATATTATACACGTTTTATTTCCATTTACTCGATTCGTTATACATAATAATTGGCTGATGTTATAAATGCTGATGTGACAATTTTAATCGTCTGCATCCCGAAGCTACTGACGTCCAATCAACAAAAGGCAGTTGTGTCCATTTTATAAGGTTTAGAGTCGAACCTTTAATAGGGGAGAGGGTAATGTAAGAACATTTATTACTATGTTCTTACCACTTATATTATACACGTTTTATTTCTATTTATTTAATTCGTAATGCATATTAATTAGCATAGAGGGAGATGCTGATATGACAATTCTACTCGTCTGTAGCCCGGAGCTACTGACGTCGAACTAACAAAGGGCAGTTGTGTTTGAGTGGCCGTTATAGACATAGTTTTCAATATTATTACTTTCGTCTTATTTATATTATTTATAACTTAACTTGTTTTGCTCAACGACTCGTCTACGCCAATAGTCATCATAGCCAACCAACTCCGTCTGACTTGGATGTGACCAACTGTACTAGGATTCAGGTCAGACGTATTGTACAATAAATATTTACTGAACATCGAAAATATAACTTTACGTTGTCGTTGACATAAAACAATAGTTTAACTTTATTATATTATTACTCTCTAGTAACTAAGGTACATGATTGCCTGTGTCTCCTCCAGATAATTAAAACTCATTTAAGGAGATACGGACAATATTTGGACAGACGTCGAGTAGCTTCATGGTTTTGACCAAGATCCTCAAGTATTAAACGGACACCTAACAATAGCACCGAAATGAAAAGCTTTTCGATGAGCCAACCGCATAAATGGCGAATGTGTATAGTAATGAATGATATCGGATAGTGACGAATTGTTAGTCCATTGCGTATTGCAGTCGAACCCGACGCAATCGACTATAAAATGTGCAATTGTGTCGCTGAAGAACGCAGCACTAATACGCACCGTTCTGTGCATTAACTCGTATTAACTAACGTGCAAAAGGCGAATTTAAAACAAAAAAAAAAACCAAAATAAAATTAAGCTAACAGTGATCCGTACGTACAGCACGTGCCAACAGAAAAGCAAACCGATACGCAAGTGACGCCATTCGCACACACAACCCTAACAGTAAAACCAGTAGGATCAGGTTGCGCTCATGGCGATATCAACTGAGACTCGACAATGATTTACAATACCGATTTTTATTGCGCTATTTCGTTTTGGCGCGACCGAAAGTTTCGATTTTTCTAGTTTAAGTACATCGGAGGAATTACAAACACACGTAGCTGATTGTTCATTTACTACTTCGCTATTCACAGCGGTCATTACCAACTACGGCACTATTTGGGGTTATTACATCAATTAGTCCTAGACACAATTGAAGGTTTCAAAATAAATATTTATGAATTGGACTGTCATAAACGAATCCGTTAAATATCAGTTAGTGTAACCGTTTGTATATAATACAGTGTCATTTCAACAAAAGGATCAAGTTATATCAAAAAAACCAAAAACCTTTTATTTTTAAGATAAATCTCATATTTTTTAAATATGTGTTCTCATTTGAAAAACCAAGTTGACGCCCATACGTAAGAATAAGGTATGAACTTAAAAAATATTACATAGGTAATAATTCGAGAACAATATGTAAGTAAAAGTAACCAAAAGTATTTATTTTTAAAATTATTTATAATCTAATTGTATGTAAGTGGTTAATGATTAACGGAACATCCGATACATATATTTAAAAGAATTTTTATTTTATACTACATTATTATATTTGTATATGAATAATTTTAAAACAGTCAAACATGAGTTTGTCATGAGACAGATAATATTAACTAATATTTTTCATTTTTATTTTCTGACATATTAAGATAAATAAGTTTAATTTATGTTCCTTAAAAACATTTAAAATCAAGATACAACATCAAACTCAATCAAAGTAATTCAATATACACTTTTTTTTGTAAATGCATATACATATTTACTGTGGTGCGTATTTAAAAAAAATTTCGAGGAGTAGGGGCTTAAAAAAAGTGTTGTTACGAAAATACAGAGGCGTATTTACTTGTTAATACAAAACTGGTATTTACTAGTAATTTCAATGTAACCGTATTTCTTTGACGAAAAGAAAATGTTATCGGAATTGATAATTAATAGGACAGTATATGATAAGTTTAAGTATACTCGAAAAGCTTAAAAAAAATTTAATATGATTTTAAATTAAAAACGATCCAGTTGGTTTTCAGTTTATTATCTAAGGAATGTTACAGCATTTTGTCATAAGGCATAATATTTTGCAATTTTTTTGTCCATTAATGACGTAATATCTTTTGATAAGAATAGAATTATTATTCCAAAAAATTGTTTTATAATTTTTAATAAAAATTATCAATATAAAGTAATTTTCTTGGAAGTTGATACTATTTTTGTCCTTGCAATGGCGAAGGTAATACAGACGGGGATTTTAGTTTAAATTTAATTATTCGGACATATGTAATTAAATCAAAAAATACTATTAATTGAAATTACTATTAAAATACAACAATATATTTCTATTCTATTTAAACAATTGATTGATAATTGTAAATAATCGTGCATAAAACAGATAAACGTTTCTATCTGAGTAATTATTAAATATTAAATAGCTGAATTTTAACAATATCCTATTTTACAAATCTCCAATCTTAACTAAATTATATATTTCTAAAGTAACATTGCTAATAGACATAAATGAAAAATACCAACTGTTATTAAAGTATTTATAATATACCTATTTTAAAAAAATGTTGAAAAAACATTTATTTTACATTAAATAGCATGAAACATTTCATTAATCTTCAATCAAAATTATTTTTCTATAAGTACCACGTGGAAAATATAAATATATCGAATATCAAGAACAAAAAAAATTAAGGTATGGAATAAACAGTAAACATTTGTGCAAATACTCTTATTCATTAATAATAATTATTTAATTCCAAAATTCTTATATTTTATAAAAATTAAATGATTGAATTAATTTCGATTGGGTTTGTTTCCCTCGACCATAGAAGTTGCGTTAGATCGAAAACTAGTGTAAAAATTCTGTCAAATCATTAAGGTAAAGTTGACCTCATATAGTTAGACTAGAGACTAAAACTCAACATAAAAAATTTCAAATTATTATGGTTAATCAATATTAACCCATACACAGAATGATTAATAAGTTAATTAATTAAATTAATTTATCGTTAACTACTAGATTTATTCTTAAATAATAATAATTTTGATAATGTTTTTTTTTTGGCTAATTTATCTATCGAATTTTAAGCAGTTAAATTCTTAATGTTATTTATCCAAAATACACGTTTAACTAGTTCATATAAAAGAAAATGATCCAACTAAAAAAAGAGATTGGTTGATTACGACTTTTCAGACCAGCAGTTAAAAACTGGAATACTGATTCAAAGTTTGTTATGGAACAGTGATATTTTTTAGTTAGATAATTTTCTATTGTATAAACTAGTTAAATATGTATGTTGCCATTTGAAAAATATGTCGAAAGGAATAGACCTAATAAATAAATTTAATTTTAGCAAAAATTAAATTACTTATGATTGAAAACATTAAACTTACTTCGTTAAATCATAAGAGAAAAATTACAGATAAACATTTTAGTTGGTATTGTCTACGTGTAAATGTTGTTAGTGACAGTTCGCTCGGTTGACAATACAGTTGATATCGATGGTGTCGTAAGTTATTGTCATAAGAAGGGTAAGAGAGAAACGCTTAAGTATAGAATGTAAGTATAGTGTAGCGCTTTGTCTGTGCAGATAAAGTGTCAGACACAAGTACTTCAATTAAACAGTGGAGATAGCAAAGTATGAGATGCAAACGAAATGCAATACACAAATACTGAGCGTACCAGGAAAATAACAAAGTGCAACACGTAAATACTTGAGATAAGTAGGAGCAAAGGCGTCAAGCATAAACAATCAAATTCTTGACGTGAGTTTAAAAGTGGGATAGCGACAGCCGTGTACTGAGACTGATATTTGACAATGAATCTTAAGGTGCGTACTGAAGTCGACTGATCAGTGGTCAGATACTGATATGGTCAGGTCCAATTGGTAGATTGCGCAGTCATTTAATTTTAAGCTGCATATTTTATTTAATTGTCAAATCATCTGTCGCTAACGGCTAGAGTGCTGTCCAAATTTGTTATAATATTTTCAACAATTGTTTTAAAAATATAGATGACATAACTCGTCGCAATTATTCTGTACCACTTGTTAAAATACGTTCAAACATAACTTAGCCAGCCGCCTATCTCATTCAATATACGTAAATTGACCATTTGTCAAATCGGGTCAGAATATTATTTTTACAAAACTAATGGTATATTTTTATTTTGTAAACAAAATTGAAAAAGTTTTTTAAGTTTGATTGAGCATATGTATAAATGAATTTAATTTTATGAGTGTAATACAAATAAGTATGGTACATATATAAATTTTAACTAATAACCAATATCTATGGCAGATTTATTGGTATGTAGAGATATATTTATGCTATTATTATTAATAAAGTATTTATAAATATTTATATAGATTATCTTTAATTTTTAGAAAATTTGCAAATTACAAATATTTAGCCATTATTACGGGGTATAGGATTTAAGGTTTAATGTTTGATACATTTTTGCATTGAATGTGTATTCAAGAATATGAAAATATCAGTTTTATTTCATTTACTTTTTAGCCAAATTATACTTGTATTAATTTACTAGTCAATATACTAAGTATATTAAATACACACAAACAATTCTCAAAATTCATATTTGTATTTTAGATAACTATCGATTTGGATGTAGAATATGTCAATGACAATGAGGAATACACAGACAGAATATCACTGATGAGTTCTAGACCTGAATCACCTTTGAACTCAATGGACGAACGACAAATGTTACTAGATGTTGAACAAAATATTGCAAACTTGGAAAAAACATTTACTAACAACAAATATATGTGTAGTGATAATATCGACAATGGTAGTATCGGGAAAACACACAAAAAAGGATTTTTTCGGTATAGTTCATTTCATTCTGTAAAAGAATCATCTCTCGTGACAGAACGAAAAAGGTAAATATAGTATATTTTTAATTGAAACAATTATATTTTTACTAATAATCACATTATTTTATAGTCCCATTGTCATTATACATAATAAGAAAATATATTATTTTTACCTTACTGAAAGGAATACTTTTTATTACAATTATTGTATTCCGAAGTAAATGTACTGTATAATTTTGCTCACTTTCAAGCACAGTTTATTTTTTACGCAAAAAGAGCATCGTTAAACCTAAAAATGTATAAAGCAAAGGTTTTTGCTAAATATTGAAAAAATATATTTTTAATTAATGAAATGTCAGCAAGATATTCCATGAGAAAATTACACTGGACACTGAAAATTGTCGTATTTTATTTCAATTATTAATGAACATTCTTTATTAATAAATACTTATGTAAAGTTGTCAATGAGTTAAGTGCACCAGGTGTTTAATGTTTGTTAGTAATCAATGATTATTGATAATAGATTATTTAATACTTTCACGAAAATTTTTTTTATTAATATACTAGTCTAACCAGACAATTAATTGCATCGTATAAATGAAAGGTTAATGATAAAAGCATATTTATGAAAAGCAAGACGTATTTATGGATGGCTTAGAGACATAATGTTATGTCAAAGCTTAAATTTTATAGGAGAAAAGTTTAGTTTTTTAATTTAAAAATTAAATTAATAAAAAAAGAAAATTACAGTGATATGTGATGTACAATATTTAATAAAACGAAAAATATGTCCCAGATTTACTTAATGGACAAATGAAAAAAAAATAACTTATCATTTTAATGATTATATTTACAATTTAGTGAAGTTGATAATTAGTATCGATAGCAAAATAATAATGTTTTAAAGTTGTCTTTAATCATTTCAAGTTATATAAGAGGATGTAACACCGGAAATTGCGTTCTCTAACTAATGATATATTAGTATCTTTAATGTTAATTTCAATCTAGAAGTGGTTTCTAGATTTTAGCCTTGGTCGAATTTCAGTAGACAGATTTTTTACTACTCTTTCTCAGGAAAAAAGTGTACTTCTTCGGACGGTTCGTGGGCGGCATTTGTGTGTGCACTCACCCGCTCCTTTCCTATTTTGAACGTCATTTGATCAACACCTGTATTGTCACCTCGTAGTAAATATTGTATAGATATTCTGACATTTTTCGGCTATGGTTTAATCATTTATTCTACATCTAAAGGCTAGCCGAAATGTCGATACCTAACCGGTCAAAAGTCGGTCAAGATGTCGAAAATTAACTATCGTCGAAAAGAATTGATACGCTAATTTTTGTCTGTAGCAAGTTTGTTTTTGTTGTTGTGTGCGCTACAACTTTTTTTTGTGATTATATTATTTTTCGTGAATTTCCGCTACATTTGTTATGTAATTCTTTGTATTTTTACGGCTAGAATTATTTCTTAGCCCTTCAGAGCTGGTAATGTATATTTTTGTTAAAATTTTTTTGGAGCCAGACATTATTTTATAATTTTAATTTCGAATGCGTTGTGTCTTATGTTGGTGTTGCGGATTTCTATGCAATTTTTGTATTACGACGCCCCTATGTTTTTTAGGTTTGGTAACATGGCAGGTGTGTTTAAATACCCCCTGCCATCTTCATATAAGATTTATGTATTATATCATAAAGGGCGATGTACTTAATTTATTAAGACTAACTGCTTAAAATCAGTCGCTTACTTGGAGCGTGTACCCTTAGCAGATGTGCAGTCCGTGACGGCCGGCGGGTACCCGAAGACGTTCATCATATTGTCTAATTATAAAAGTGTAGGTCTAATAATTTTATTTAGTAATATCTGATTTATATGTCTTTCTTTGTTCCCTAACTATAGACGATTTTTTTTATCGTTTCACGTTTTTCTTCGTATTAACTTAATTTTTTTTTAATGAAGTCTCCTTAATTTAACATGACCACAACAACTCTTTTTCTTATGTGTCCATCTTCAATAGACTCGTGTAGTTTGTATTTCATTCCCTTCAAAATTCATTGTTCCCTAGTTTATAAGGTACGGGGAACAATCTTATATAAAGTCGTCTCATTTAACCGTGGTTTGGTGACAACTAGTCATAAGGTTTTGATGTATATCAATTATCAACGACTCAATCAATAGACATCAGTTTCAACATTAATAAATTTCATAAGTTTACAGTTTTCTTCATATTTTGTTAATATTTATATGATATAGTCAGTTATAAAAACATTTTCTTCTCTATTCTTTAAAAATTAGTAGTAGCTTAATTAAATTATCACCATAAAATTGAACAATTCTCATCTTATGTTAACGAACTCCCGAAGTAAAAACCCAATAACATGGGTGTTCTTACAGGGAACAGAACCTACATATTATCCTCCATGTATTTTGGAGAAAGTAATAAAAATCCTTCTTATANCATCTTATGTTAACGAACTCCCGAAGTAAAAACCCAATAACATGGGTGTTCTTACAGGGAACAGAACCTACATATTATCCTCTATGTATTTTGGAGAAAGTAATAAAAATCCTTCTTACACATATCCGTCGGAACAAAATCTTGAGAACTGCTCTGGACAAAGATTAGATTAGATATTTTTTATTTTCAAGAATTGGTATCCTAAAATAATTTTTTTTAGAACCGAACCTAAACCTATACAAAATAATCGTTACACTTTTTCGTTAGATATTAGATTATACTTATATCTTTTTGATAGTAATATTTTTTAACTTATTATACCTTAATAATGCATTATTTTTTCTCACTTATACATTAAATTTAAAACTAAACAATTTTATTACATTATTTTAGTAGTAGAAGTATGATGTTTAAGAAAGGTGTGAAAAATTTGATGCGAATAGGCAAGCAAAGAACGTCACAAGATAAAGAGATTTTAGTCGATAGTGATGAAAGTACTAACGCAATCATTGCAACCAATTTCCAACGTGGTCACACAACAGATACTAGTGACTTGTCTTCTGATAATGAGTCTCATCAATCAATCCAATCCGATTCGCCGAAACCAAGAAAGTTAGCAACATATTTTAGTAGTTTTACTTTTTTGTGCTTTTTAATAATTCAAGTTTGAAATGTAGACCACTAAAGCATAAAGACAATTTAAATACAATTCAAAATGGACTTAAATCCCAAGACTTCCAAGTATGCATCACAGTTATAGAAGCTCGACAATTGGCCGGGTTAAATATGGACCCTGTTGTCTGCGTACAAGTAGGAGAAGTAAAAAAATATACAAGTGTTAAAGAAAGCACTAATTGTCCTTATTATAACGAAGTACGTACAAAACTACTAATACATAATTAGTGATTAATATTTTACATAGTATACAAAATGATTTATGTTAAGATATTAGACTTTTTTAAATCAAAGGGGTTTTTTATCTTATTATAGAACTGAAAGTAACTTATCCTTGGAGAGCTTAGATCCTTCAAAATGAACCCTATTACCAAAAACTTAATTAAAATATACTGTGATAAATATAAATAAATCTATGTATAGTATAACTTTTATTAGATCGTTGATATTTTATTTTTAATTAACTTTTGACAAACAATTTTAAAACAACTAAAAAGGCTTTTCAGAATATATGCTCAAAGTTAAGCATTGTTATTTGTATAAACCTTCTAGCGCACTATTTCCTGGCGTAAACTGGATTTTAAATAATTTAAGTATCTAAATCTAAGCTTTTGAGTAAAATTATTTAAATATTACATTTTAATTATCCAACAAACACTATTTTACTATATTAGAAGCATAAAATAATTTTGTGGATAGTGCACTATAGAGTTCAACGAGAATAAAACATTCTAATCGTTTTATTTCCTTCTAGAATTTCGTCTTTTATATTCAATGAACTTTTCATGAGTAGGTTTGAAACAAATTTAAAAAACACTTATAGCGGTTTTTCGAAAATTTGGGTTAGGTAGATGATATTTTTTTGTAATATACAAAGATTTTAATACGTTGGTGTTACAACATTAAATTTTTTTTTTACTTATTACTTATTCACGTACAAACAGGTAGTAGAGGGAAAATTGCCTTTTATGGATTTATTAATTAAAAGAGTATGAGCAGGACTTAACATTGATATTTATTAAAAAAAGACACACAGTATGTGTTTAATGAACAAATATGTATTTGCCATTATTTAGTAATTTTTGTGGCTTTGTGAGTTAAGTATTCTTTAGTTAATATTTTAAATATATTTTTAATTTTAAATAAAAATTTTGACGTGTTGAGACTTAGTTGTAGTAGTTTTATTCCTTGATTGTGATAATTTTAAATTTAATTTTATATTGTTTCAGTATTTTGTTTTTGATTTTCATATGCCAACTGTAATATTGTTCGATAAAATTATTACACTATCGGTAAGTAAAACTTTTCTTTATTTATTTGAAAGTTTTAAATTTTAGTTTTAAAAATGAAAATTGTGTATAGCAGATATATATGTTTCATTATCACTGATTGAATTACAATTTAAACTATTATAACGATCATGTATTTAAAATAACTGTTAAAAACGTTTTAAATATTCAAATTTAGAAGTACAAACAGTTTTAATTTTATTAAAAAATTACAAATATTCAAAAATTTTAATGCTATTTGATACAATTAGTACATTTTGATAAATTATAAAATAAATTTCGCTGTATAAAAACCAAAATGTTCTTTCATATACATATTGACCTTAAAAGGACGCCATGTGGAAACCGAAATGATACAGTAGTAATAAATGAAAAAGTCTAGTACAATTAAAAGTGTGAATAATTTTTAATTTTTATTTACTTTTACTATAGTAACCAAAAATAATGACAAAATTCAAAAATTTAATATTGATATACTTTAAATACATAAATATATATATATATATATATGTTAGCTACTTTCATTTTATTGATCAAGATATTACTTACGAAAAATGTCATACTTTTTATTTGAATTGTACATGAAATTATAGGTTATATTCGTGTTTGAGTGTCACCGTCATGCAATAAAAATTTTATATTTGAATCATGAAATTATATTTTTTTGCTTAGTAATTATCGTTTAAAATTATTTTTGTTACTATTACATTATTTAAAAAACCTTAATTTGGTACAAAATCTTCAGGTTTTGCATTCTAAAAAAATTCTAAGGTCAGGTACGGTGGTTGGATCGTTCAAGATCGACTTGTGCACCGTCTATAATACACACGGTATAAGTGACTTATTTATTTCATTTATAATATTTAATTAATTCTATTTATTCTTTCAAATATTTGTAACACAAAGTTCCATTATTTACACTTATACAATTGCATATATTTATATTTTGTGAGCGTTTAACAATTCTAGTAGAGTCTAATGATTTCAATTGACACAAAATTATTTATTATTATTATTATTACATGAATGTTATATGTATACTTCGCGTACGACGTTTGCTTTTCAATTATATCATGTATGCATTTTAAAATTTATATATTTTTAACAATAATGTTTTTTAAATAAATATTATTCTTATTATTAACATTATTATTTGTGTTTGAAATAAATATTAATTTAATAATAAACATTGAACCTACAAATTTTTGCATTATATTAAAACAGTCATTGTAATTTGTCTAACTAAAATTTTTAAACGTATACTTCAGAAAAAATTAATATAATAAAAACAAAGATTTCAAAACATGTTCTGTATCTCATATTACTTTTAACCGAACGGAAAAGCAAAACAGGATTTTAACTTATTAATATACACTGTAAGATCTTTAATTTATAGCGTCACATTGGTCTTATCGCCTTGGTATACTTTAAGAAATAATATAAATACCTCATGAATTTGAGAGTACTCCAAATCACAATCGTGCCTAATCTGATCCTTTAAATAAATAGGTATAGCTTCTAAGGTTAGATCTCGATTTCCCAAAGTTCAGAAGAGTCAAGTAAGATTTATCTGACAATCATAGTTTACTCAAAACTCATATGTACCACGTAAAAATTACACATTCTGCTTAATATACTTACATCGTTAATTATTATTTGACAATTTAGATATGTTTGGTACATTTAAATTGAATTTGAATGATTTATTAATGTTTTTAATTTTAAACAACTTTATTTTACCTTTTATAGTTGAGAAAATTATTCTTAATAAGTTACCAAAATAGATATTGTGTATTTGAACGGTTTTAACGATTTAATAAAAACCTTCCCGCCAATGAAATGCCAATTGACAGTCTTCAAATAATACCATTTGTTTTATTAAATTCCTATGGTAGTTTTAATAATCGTAAATTTTTAATCAAGAATTGTTTATTTATACTTTTATTTTTTTCTGTATGCTGATTTATTTCAAAAAGGTCTTGCAATCAAGGCACGTATTAAAATCGTCGAAACTTTGGGGCAGCTTTAAATTAGACGTTGGCACTGTCTGGTACCAACCAGGTACATATAATGGACCTTAAAAATTATATTGACCGAAAAGAATATTATACAATAGATAAAATTAAGTAATCAGTACTTGTTGTAAAACATGACATACAATCATGTAGGATTATTTATTTTCCAAATGCATTTTCAGAATTTTATATGACATAATATTATGATGTCATTCTATTTAAAATGCATTTTATGTGTTTTTTCCTTTTTTATAATACACTATTTTATAGATTAAAATACTTTAAACAAATTGTTGCTACTTTTATTGTGCATGTATTATAGTTTTAGCGTTATTTTATTAATAAAATATATGTCATTTGCATGGGTCATGGAATCACAACATTTAAATAATATTTTGGTTATAATAGTTAATAAAAACTATACCCTTTACTATTTTATATTCATTTTCATATGCATGATACATGAACGTGCTACCGTTTTCGATTTATGTAATTTATTAATGGAACTTATAATATAATAAATTCAATGAAAAATTATGTTTTGGTAACATTTAATTATTTATTGATAGTTTAAACTTAAAAATAATTATTGTTTAATAACAAATATTTAAATTTGTTTGAATAATTACGTCTGAGACAAGTACGTGTATCATTTTGTTACTAAGAACGAATTCTACTCTAATATAATTTTATCCTATTCAGTGGTGTATTTTTATTCTTAGAGATCCGAGTTAAAACCCGACGAAATTAATAGCTAAACTAAAAAATATACCAATTACTATACCAGTATATATACAGAATTTTTTTATGAGGAATATAATTTTAAATTATTATAACGACTATTTTTTTTATTTTGTATCTACTAAACAAATTTTTAGTGCTTCTCTAATCGAAGTCTTGAAAATCTCACTAATATTTTTTTTGAAAATACGTCACCAATGATAACAGAAAAAAATATTCAAATCTTATATAATATCAATAATCCAAGTACGAATTGCAGTCAAAGTACACGAAAAATATTTTAAAAACGCTCCTTGAAAATATAATTTCTTTTGTATAAATCCATATTGATTAGTATAATCAATACCAATATAGTATATACTTAGTTAATCATAAAAATTTCATATAATTCAAATTAATACATAATTTTCAAATAGTTCACTATTTACAAGAGAAAATTAAAAGATCTAAAAGAAAATTTGTATTAGATGTTTACTGATATTTACATAACTTTCCAGACTTTAATTTACTAAATAATGTTGAATTCCTAAATATGTTCCGTGTTTATTTTCATTATTTCATTTCGTATTTATTACAATGATTACTTCTAGGACTAGTCATTAAAAAAGTTAAAAATTTAGTGTTGAAAACATTATAATAGGTTCTAATCGAATACGGTTACGTTCTTTAAGTTGTCTAATAGATTTTTTTATTTGCACCCTATTCAGTCGTCAAATATATTATAATGGAACCTCGTCTCAACTTTATATAAGTTTAAGAAAAATTATTTTTTGATGAAGTTATGCATGAACTTATATGGCATCTATTTCAGAACACCAATTTTATCATAAATGGGCATTGTTGACTGATCCTGATGACGTGGCTGGAGGACCCAAGGGATACTTAAAATGCGACATTAGCGTAATAGGGAAAGGCGACACTATAAAAATTCCCCCGAAAACTGAAAAGGACGAAGATGATATCGAGGCGTGAGTACTTTTACATATGAGCTAACTTTTTTTTATTTTTTTAACACGTTTACAACTAAAACAAAGTTTTTTAAACTTACTCGCATTGTTTCTTTTAAGTTTATGTTCAGAGTACTTTTTTAAAAATTCTCAAAACAGCATATTTATTTTTATTATATAAAATTATTGTATATATTTTTTTTTTACAAAACTGTTTTAAGTTTATATTATATATAAAAATAAAATTTTTTACTTAATAAGACATTCGAATACTTAGCCAGTTGATTTAAAAAAAAATACCTCTTTTTGTTAATGAACAAAAATAACCACATCTAATATCTACTGTTTAATATTTTATAATAGGAATAATATTATAATAAGTATCTTACCAATTTTCACAGTTATTATGGAAAATGGCAATAAACAAAATCATTTTTTTTTTACTTTAATGCTGTTCAAAATGTACATTACTAATAAAAAATATTCATTGTCTACTACGTTGAATAATACAACAGGGTTGTGGTTTGTATTTCAACTGTTAACCCTATTACAAACAACACCAAGGCATTTAATTTTTATTACATTCAAAAGAATTATTTGTTTCACTAAGTTCTTGATATTTCTTTTATTTTTTATGAAAAAAATATATTTCTTTATATTCTAAATAAAACGAATTAAAAACCGTTGGTTTGATTCAATGACTTAATGAATCTTATAAAAAAATAAAATTATTATTTACCTACATAAAATTAAAGAATTATTTACAAACGTAGAGTATTTAATATCATACAAAGATTTTATTATATTTTTTTTATACAGAATGTTCAGTAAGTAAAGAAACAACCTGTTTCTTTTTACAATTTACCAAATTGTTCTAAAAAACGAGAACAATAGAAACCCGTTTTCGTATACTGAACACTCTATATCTTTTAAAGATACTAAAATAGCTCTTTTACTTTTCAATTATAAATTACTTATATTGATTTTTTTATTGTAAATTAAATTCTATCTAAAAATAAAAAATAAAAAATTATTATATTTAATAATTACTAAAATGTATCTAAAATGAATATATTTTAAACAATTTCAGAGTTTTTTAAATAATCTTACAAATACACCAAAAGTCATTAAATATTAAATACAATAATAATAAATATAAATAAAATATAGTTAATATTAATGTGATAATAAAAGACAGTTAACAATACTTCTTACTAAATATAAAGATTTTATTGAGAATTCATTTATTGTAAGATAACATATAGTTGCAACATAATTAACAATAAGTTAATATAGAGTATCTTTATTAATTCATATTAATTTTTAGAAAATCGTCGAACTTTTATATTAACTTCAAATAGTAATTTCTATCTAAAAGTTCTAGTTTAAAAATAAAATAAATTTTTCCAATTATAATTGTTATAATAAAAATAGATCACTTTTGGATAATATTGCTCAAAATTAAAAATTAATTAAAAATATTTAGCTTAAAAAGTCACAAAAAATAATAAATAATGGCGTGTAAAAATACTTAACATTTTTAATGGTTTGTTTATGATAAATATAAACTAAAAATTAAATGTTCTAATATTTATGAAAAGTTTTTCATATTCTAAAATCAAAATACTATAGAAAAGTATTTCATATTCTAAAATCAAAATACTATAGAAAAGTATTTCATATTCTAAAATCAAAATACTATTGAAAAGTATTTAACAAGTATTAAAAATACAATTTTCAAATTGTATTTGAAAAGTACTTGGGATACTTAATATGATAGTTACCATCATCATAATTGATAATTATTTTTTAATGTTTATCCATAGAAACTTGTTACTTCCTGATGGTATGCCAGTAGATCGACAAAGAGCCAAGTACATGGTACGTATTTACAGAGCAGATGGCTTGCCAAAAATGAATAGTACTTTAGTTGCTAACGTAAAAAAAGCGTTCACTGGTGAAACTCGAGATCTTGTCGATTCTTTTGTTCAAGTATCGTTTGCTGGTCTCACTGTAAGTTTTTCAAATTGTACGAACCTTACCCATATGTATTAAAAAATCATCCACGTGGTATTTTATATCGAGTGTTCAGTAAGTAAGGAAACAGGTCAATTGCCACAAACAATGTGAACAATAGAAACTCGTTTCTTTACATACTGAACACCTTATATAAATTCCATCTGGAAACTACTTTCTGTGTAAGCTAAACGCCTATTGGTTCATGGAATACAATAAATTATACATACTATCATATTAAAAACCACTAAGACTTATCAATTTACGACCTATTAACTCGTTCTTGAACTTAAATCAACTTTAACTCATTAAAATTTGAATAACAATTTGTAAATAATATCTTTAATTAAAAAGACAATTTTTTTTGATTGAATATATCTGATGATATAAAAATACAATTGGGGTTTAGTGTATAAGGGATGATTGCAGAAAAATAAGTTTTCGTGTAAAACAGCTCAATAAAGATCAATTAATGTTAAAAAAATTGAATTGGTTGGGTAATAAAGGTTGGATTTGTATAAATTGTTGATAAAATATGTTAACTGTAATAAGTTAATTAATTAACAACTATTTCAATAACAAAGAAACTCAACTAACCAATGTTTAACAAATTTTATTAGTATTGTAAAAAGTCAGTTGACAAAGTAATTTGTATTATTTTTTAAGTCCATTTCATTGTTTCTATCTAGTTACATTTAGTTTCTATAAAAAAATCAAACTTAATTGAATACGTTTTATTAAAAGATAATAATTATTTATTCTAATTATATTTATAATTTGAATAATGCCAAGTTTAAAAGTTATTTAACTATGAAAAATATTAGACAAATGCAAAATTTATTTTATAGTATGTGAAAATTATTGATATCTTAAAATTATATGAATAACTAATAGAATTTTTTTTTCTTATTCGTTTTAATTAATTAAATTTAATTGCTTTTGATTTTTTATATTTTTATTAGTTTTTACTGCAAAAGAATTTTTTTATAATGAAAATATGTGGTTTTATATAAAATATTTGTACTTTTCAAAAATAATAGACATTATTCTTAAGAAATAATTGCCATAAGCAAAATAAATTGAAGATATAAATAATAACAAAAATTCTGAACTCTTTTTATATCTTTCATAAGGAAAATGTACATTCTTTACATTTTATTAGGTGTCAGTTAGAAAAATTACTTGAATGGCAATAATTGAAAAATCTATCTTCTCTTGAGTATAACTTGATCCTTCTATAGTATTTTGCTTTGCCATGCTATATTTAAACTAATTACTAAGAATAAAAATTATGTTTGTTTTATTTTTTATTTCTCAATCAAGGGGAAAACTAGTGTACGGAAACATAGTTACTCACCAGTGTGGAACGAACAAATTGTGTTTTCTGAAATGTTTCCTCCGCTTTGTCAAAGAATTAAAATTCAATTAAGGGACAATGATCCTGTAAATACCATTATTGGCACGCATTTTGTTGATCTCAAAACAATATCGAATGATGGTGAAAAAGGTGAGATTTTTAACTGAAGAGTTAAAAACCCCGAATACATGTATAAAAATTAATTTTTTGTAATATATTGATAGGGTCAATATAATAATTAAATATAGTTATACGACATTATTGAAAAAGTCAGATACTAGAAATATAATTATTGAAATTTATATAAAATTTGATTAGTGTTAATATTAAAAACAATAGATTTCCTTTTAAAAGTATACGTGTATTATTTTGTTTAAGGTTTCCCACCAACTTTCGGACCAACATTTATTCACCTGTATGGATCAACTCGAGATTACAGCATTTTGGATAAGCATGCAACACTTAACACTGGATTGGGCGAGGGAGTATCCTATAGAGCGAGATTATTAGTTGCCATTCGGACTGAAATAACCGAAAATAGTGAAATTATGAACTCTGGAGTAGATATTGAACCAACTTATCCAATTACAGAGGTACAAGTCATAGCATAAGCTTATAAAATCGCACTGGAAAATTACTTTTAGGCCTAAAATGGAAAATACATACATCATTTATAATATTTACTAATAAAAATATTTTAGCAATGTCTTTAATACCAACGACTTCGACATAATTAAATATAGTTTACTTTTGTTGGTAATCAAAATGAAATGAATTTTTTCATTAAAAATGTTACATAGATTATAATTTATGGAAAATTAGAATACTAATTATAATTAGTTCAAAAAAAAATTTTTTTTTGACATTTCCCACTGTTATCTAAGTACTCTTGCCTCCTCAACTGTTTAGATATTACTGTGCTTAATAAAATCAAATTAAAGATTTAACTCAAAAATATGATTTTCGAAATATCAAAATAGTTGAAAACAGTTTATTATTCAAGAAGAATCTAAGGATATATTAACTCATATGGAAGTTAACTTTTATTCGCTTTTATGTGTTTTATAAACTTTAGTTTTAAATTAATATTTTTTTATTTGAAATCATATGGTAGATCAAAATTTTGTTATCATATATTAATTCTTAATTTATGTTTGATTTTATTTCATTTGTATTCATAATTACTAACCTCATATAATAGAGTAAGACGAGGTAAGATGACGAATTCAGTATTTCTCAAAATCAATAAAATGTGTGCGAATGATGTGCATATTATGATAGTATATCCTAGCCAGCATAAAACATCAAGTGGTACGTAAATTTTAATTGTGATTAGAAATTCATTCACAGAAGTCAGGAAAAACCGTGAAAGTTTACCTTGTCATCTTATACTACTATCCCAGCTTATTGACTAGTTGTTGAGCTTGTAAATGGACATTATAAAATATCATAAATAGAGTGTGATGCTCTACTTTGTGTAACTATATCAGATGTAACTTCCTGCGCTAGTTAAACAAATAATACCATGTGCGTTACGTCATAATCTGTGAATATTGCGTAAATAGCCCAAAACATGTCGTAGTATCCACAGAATACCGACGGTACTCAATAATAGGGTCACGCCTTGCACGAGTGCCCTAGACGTGTATCAACCACCACAGTGCGCCGACAACGCCTACTAGAAAAACGAAAGGGTTAAAATATAGTTACGGCATCCCGCTGGGGAACGACACGATTAGTTAATCACTTATTTTCGGTTACGTGATTTATGCCTATGATAGTTGTGCGCAGGTGGCTTATACAGTTAGTCTTTATTTAGAATTGCTTTAACCGTATTGACCATTAATGAATACTATTATGCTATTTATAAATTTGTCTATTGCAGACAAATTAATTCTAAACATCAAAAACAAACTTACTTATTTTGTGAATAATCAAAACAAACAAACATTGACTTTATTTTAACTTGATAATGATAAAAAAATATATATTTAAATGAAAAGATACGTTCTTCTACTCAGATTTTATTCTTGCGAATGAGAGTCTTTGAAAAAACTGCCTGACACCCTCGTGCATTGCTCTGTTCGGCAGGTAGCACCGATTCCCAACAACTTATGTTAGGTAGCTGGTCCTGGCTACCATCCTCTATGTTCGACGACATTAGGTTAAATTTATATGCATCTCAAATGAGCTCCAAAGTTTAGGAATTGTGCAATAATTTGACACGACTTACGTCGCAATAATGTTGTCGACATTGATTTTGAGGGCCGTTTATTAATGAGCAACAACAGGTTATTTAAAATAAAAAAACAAACAAACCAAAACGACGAACACAATTAATAATAATCTTCGCATAATATCGCGGCACTTTCGTTCGCGTCGACGACACGGTGTCCGTCATGATCCTCGGCGTCAAAAAGTTAGCAGCGTTGATGGCGACGGTGTGCGGATGCAAATCGGTTCGTCGAGTCCGGTCGTGCGGCACGTCCGGAGCCGATGGCGTACATCGTCGACGTTGTTACTTTGACAGAGGGAAGAGGACTCTCCGTATTATTTGTGGCGTCGGCCGTGCGGCACTTGTTGGACTTTGCACCGTGGCGTATGGCACGCGGTGTTGGTCAGTCAAGTATTCATAGTAGGGCGACGGCTGATAAAGGTGGCACGAGTCGCGGGGCATCGTGTATCACGAAGCGACGCGGGACCGTGTCAAATTAAATAATTTATGTAGAAGAATATTAGAAGCAAGCTTAACAAATTAATTTACTTAAAATTACAATCTCACTTTTATCAAAATACATGTATTTATAATTTGTACAGTTATCAGAGTTTGGTGTAAATTCAATGGTAATTTTACTGTAAGACTTCAAACGTAATTTTAATAGAAAACTATCGAAGAAGACTTTGGTATTTTTAATAGCTGAAGATACTATTTATTACGCCTGCAAAGTCCCCTAGCATTATTGAATTCTAGTAAAACATTTTTTTTTCATTATCTATATTTATTTGTTTTAGACGTCCTATTGTAAAAATGAAGATTTTTTTTTATTTATGGTTATTTTGGACGCTTCAATGATAGACAAAAAATTAGGAGAGAAGTCTATATTTTTTGAATTAAGTATAGGGAATGCTGGAAATATGATTGATGGTCACAATGAATCCAGTTTTCAAGAGGACTATGACACGATTAATTTATTAGGTAAATTATTTTTACATGATTTTTCATTAATAGATATAATTTTTTTAACCAATAGAAAGTGTTGTATCCGAATCTTGGCAAAGTACAACGGCTGCAATCAAACCTGTGTCTAATGGAAAAACATATCATTATTTGCCATTACGAGAGGATAAACCTTGTTTACATGTTAAATCTACGTGGCCAGATTATCGAAGGCGAATGTATAACTCTAACATTATAAATAAGATATCAGATAAATTGGTATGAACACAATGTCTATATATTTTTTTTTATTTTAATATATTTATCAGTTAAACGTTTTATTTTGAATGTATTGTTTTTTAGGAGGAAGGGTTAAATGAAGTAGCATTTTTAATAGATGATGACGATGCAGATAAAGAGGACAAACTTAAGTCTGTTTTAGATGAATTATCGTCTAGTTGTAATCATTACGTAAATTTCACTAAAGGGGTAGGGTGGGGTGAAGGCTCAGGAAAAACTAAGCTAGACAAAGAAAGAATGAAAATGTGTTTACGAGAAATCGTAAGTAAAATTTAATTAAAACTGTTTACAAAATTTTATATTAAATGTGTGTAGGAACAAGTAGGAAAAATGTCCAGGAATTTAAAAGCCATAGTAACAAAAAGCTCATTTAAAGAACGATATAAAACAGCGCATGGATATTTACAGAAAATTAAAATACTTATTGAAGATGTAAATACCTCTAAATCAAATAAATTATAATAATTAATTAACAAACGAAAAGTAATTTATTTTCCAGCCACAACATTCATTGCCTGACATTTTTTTGTGGATGGTGAGTAACGGTAAAAGGGTAGCGTACCAAAGAATAATGGCTAGACACCTTATTTATTCGATAGCTGATGATGAATGTGGAAAGTTTTGTTCAAAAGTACACAGCATGTTTTTAAAAGTAATTGTATTTTTATAACATTGATAATCCATAAAATTATCATCATGGTATCATTACAGCTTCCCGGCAAAAAAAATTATGGTGCATCTGGTTGGTCAGTACCGGCTAAACTTCAAGTGTATACATGGCTTGGACTAGTGAAGCATAAAAAATATCTTTCAAACGGTTTGCCCAGCGGTTATAGTACTACTCCTGAACTTTTAAGTTCGAACAATCCTCGACTATCGCCTCCAGCTTATATTCATTATCGAGAAAAATATGTTAGTAACTATGGTTAATAACATAAAATAAATTTTTTTAACTGCTACTTCAATGATTGTTCTAGATGTTTCAATTAAGAGCTTACATATATCAAGCTCGTTCATTAATAGGTTCTGACGCATCTGGTTTATCTGATCCATACGCACAAATAATATTCGGAGAACATTCAGCTAAAACTCAAGTCAGTAACTAAATATATTTTCATATCAAATATTAATTCAATACACAATTTTCAAAACAAAATATATAGTTATGTACTAATAATTTTTATTATGGTATTAATAATACAGAAAATAGTATTTATAAAATATAATAAATTTAGGTTATTGACGAAACGCTATCTCCCACTTGGGATGAACTATTAATAATAGACGAATTAACATTGTATGGAACAAAAGAAGACATTAAAAAACATCCACCAACTGTTGTAATAGAAATATTTGATCAAGATAAAGTGGTAAATAATTAGCTTATGCATAAAAATGAGTAATCCTCGATAACTGTTATTCTCTGTAATAGGGCAAGTCTGAGTTTATCGGTAGAACTTCAGCTCGACCACATGTTAAGCTTCTAGAAGACGATTATGTAAGACCCGATTTTCCTCCATCTTTGGAATGGTACGATGTTCACAGAGGTTTAGAACATGCTGGCGAGTTATTAGCCACCTTCGAATTGTTACAGGTTAGAAGTAAAAATGATAAATCAGTCATTAACATTATAATTATCTTTATTTCAGCTACCTAACGCTCTTATAGGAGAAAGCGCAATATTACCTCCGTTGCCTGATCCAAAAGACGTTCATTCTATTATAGATAGTCAAAACTATGGACCTATTCTTCCTATTCCACATGACATTAGACCAACACTAGCAAAATACAGGTGAGATTATGATTATACAAAGTGTAATTTACTATTTATTAGTAATTCTACCATAGATTATAAATTGCGCATAAAATAATCTTTTTTTAAAGGATTGAAGTATTATTTTGGGGATTGCGAGATTTAAAACGTATACACTTGATGACAGTTGACAAGCCACGAGTAGACATTGAATGTGCTGGCCACATCCTCTACTCATCAATTATTCAAAATGCCAAAAAAAATCCCAACTTCAATACACCAGTAAAATTTTTAGAATTAGTAAGTTAAAATAAATTTTAGTATGTGTTTTTAATTTATCATGTTTGAAAAATCATCTAATATATCTTTAGGAATTGCCAGAACAAGAATTGTATCGTCCACCACTTACAATTAGGGCAGTTGATTGTCGAAGTTTTGGTCGATTTACTTTAGTTGGAACACATCTTATCAATTCAATACATAAGTATATGTATGTACCAACAACTAAAAGAGAGCGAGAGGCTCTCGAAAGAAAAAAATCACTTAAGCAGTTACAAGGTAATATTTAACTTGTAGTATGACTAAATCAAGCCTATATTTAAAGGGTAGCACATCGGAACATTTTGCTTCGGTGGCATTATGTTTAGAGGGACACGGCCATATTCATAAAATTTTATCTACTCCCACCACCCTATTATTAAAAAATTGTTTTATGGGAATGAATTTGTTGAAATGAATCATTTTTATATTTTCTTCACAACTTAAGGTTAAACATAAATTTTAATTAATTAAAAATCATTAGCTATATTAATACTTCTAAAAAGTAAAAGATTAATATGAATATAAGATACAATGTATTAACAATTTTATAATTTTATTTATTTTTTTTTTGAGAATTATTTGACGCTTTCAATAATTTATTACTCGTTAGGAATTATAAGTTCTAATTAATTTTTACACTCTTGACAATTTATAAAATGTTCTAATCTTTCATGTACCTGTAATTTTAATAAATAAATAAATTGAAGTAATAAACTCTTAATATAACAACATTTTTTCTTGGCCCTCTAATTTTGCTACATTGCAAATTGGCTGTATTATATAAAATTTTCAATTTTATAATTTGGGATATTTGCATTCATATTTAAATGAAGATATTATATATGAAATTATAAGTAATGACATCAACATTTCTTTAGATGAATTTTAGGCTTCACAAGGGACAATTATTTTCACAGTTTTATTATTAATAGAAGCTTAAATAAACATTTGATAACGTTTTAAAAACTGTATCAGCTTTATCAAAAGAGAATAAAATTTTGATAGATACTTCAATTTTGTTAAAGGAATTATTAGTATATACCCTAAACCAGACTTTCTTTACTGGTCAAAGGTTAAAGGTATATAATTATTATAATCTGAATACATTAGAATTACAAGAGTTCAAATGTTATTGATAATATCTTACAATGATTAAAATCGCTATCATAAGAAACGCATCGAAGCAAATCTTCTGTAAATAGTGTTGTTTAATTTTAAGAAATTGATGGATTATTCCAAAAACAAAATCAACTTCTATTTCCTTAATTATACCCTGATTAGTAGTTTTTTTGATTTAAAAGCATAATATATGAATAAAAACTTAGTAATTTATAGTTTTAATTATAGTAATTATTAGTATGAAATTGATATTCACTAATTTAATATTGTATATTTTACAGAGAAATTATAAATATATATTAAGTTGATTATTTCGTTACCTGTATGTAAACGTTTATAAGAGTTCTAATTCTCGAGTGTAAAAAATTAAAAAAAATTCTATTAAAAATCTCAGACAAAATTTTGACAGGGAAAAATTCAATTTTTGTTAGAGGGGATGTCAATAAATTTTAACTTTGAAACAAAACAAAAAAGGTTATTTTTACTGAGTTCATTTTTTTTCGTGTCTGTTATTACTAACCTCTCATTGAACTGATTTTGATAAACAACCCGATAAAAGTTTACAAATTATATCTAGTTAAATCTACCTGAAACCCAATCGAACCAACATTACTTTCAAAAATGAAAAAAATTTCCCTCGTCACTCGTAAATGTTGTAAAATCTTTAAAATATTACTATTAACTTATTTTTAAACCTAATAACAAATTTATAACCTATAACTTTTGCCCTAATTATATAACCCATGACATTTCGTCTTTATTCTTTAACCTATAACCTTTCAATTAAAAAAGTGAAATATGAAATCGAAAATTTTAACACAAAAACACACAACTACGCATCCATTTGCCTATAGAAGATAGGTCGTCGGAATAATTTTTTTTTAGAACTTATAGTACATAACATTAGCTTTATTTTAACATATGTTTGAAGCTTGGAGTATTTCTGGAACATTTTCAAAACTTAAGTTGAAAAAATGAAATTTTTTTTACAAAAATTCCTATTTTGAATCTTCTTCTATGGACAGGTAAAGGATCTGATTTTCAAAAAATGTATACTAAATGAAAGAGAATTATCTAAGGTTTTTATAATAATATAATTTATAATAAAAATTATCAATTTTCAAAAAGCTAATAATTAGTACATAATTTTTTTTTAATAAACATAACCATTTTTTTTCCGTGTAAGAGTGTTGGAAGTCGACAAATTTTACGTTTTTCCCGACGAAACTAAGTCATAAATATTTATTCCAACTTAAACAACAAATTACTCGTTTTTTAATTAACTGTATTTCATATTTTACAGATATCAATGTGAAAAGAAATAGTTCGAACTTTTGTAAGCCTTATAAAAATAACATTTATTCAAATAAACACTGTACACTACAAAATGATCACGATTTTGATAAACAAGAAAACATCATATATATTAACTATGTAAGCGACAAAAATTTTTTTATAAATATAAATTAGTTTTGATTTGTAAAATTATAAATATTTTACTATAATAAGTAACACTTATTATTTTAAATTTGCTTACTAGAAAAAATGTAATCAACCATTAGGTTCGTGGCTTATTTAATGCAAATTACTAGTGAAATATAACATTGATTTGAACTTAAAGTAATTAAGCTTTTAATACCATTTAGGGTTCTAGTCATCTCACCCAAAAAGACATTAAGACACAATACAATAAAAATCGAAAACAAAGTTTTGAAGAAGTTATTGATGTACGAAATGATGATAGTAGAGATTGGTGGACTAAATATTTTGCTTCTGTCGAAAATGCTATTATAAAAGTTTGAACTTTTAAATAATTTAAAAACCATGAAATGTTTTCTTAAATATATTTATTTGTTTTAATTCAGGACAATAAAAAATTATTGTATGGAAATAGTGACATGTTGTTGTCTGTTCAAGTAGATAAAGACAAAAATGAGGTTAAATCATCAAAAAAAGGTACTAAAGCATCTCGATTAGTAGCTAAACTTAGTCCAAAAAAATTCCAAAGGAAACAAGATATTGCGAAAATTGCAACTATGAAGGTAAATATTTTTAACCCATAAAAAAAAAATAAAATTTCAAAGCTTTTTATAGTGTATATTTTATAAATATAGTTTTTTAGTTTATTAATAGTTGATTAATAAAGAATTTAAATATAAACGTAGTAGTATTAGTATTTTAATTTAATTTTAGTAAAATGTTCAAAGTATACGATTTCATTAGTATTAAAGAATTTTCTAAGTTTTTAATTACTATACTTATATCGTAACTCAAAATAAAATAAAGTTGCCAGTGAGTTGGGTAAAAAATGAGAGTTACTTTTATTGAGGGGTGTGATTCAAGGATCATAAAATAATATTAGTATTAACTCTTATTGTTTTAAAATTTTACCTGATAATTTTTCATTTTTCTTAGAATAATTTTAGTAATAGTATCAATAATTGATAAACAATGTAACACAAATTTGACTTTTAGTTCACAAATTAATAGGTAAAAATTTCGAAAAGGATAATGACAAATTTTACGTAGAAGCTTAAAGCGCGTTTAGAACAGATGAGACTGTGTGGGATTGCTCTACCTTTTATAATATTTTATATCTTCGAAAATCATCATTGTCTCATTCTTGCAATGTTATTGTTTATTAATAAGTAATTATAAAATATATAAATTAATACATGTGAATAATATACAAATCATTTTGATATTTTATAGAACGTTAATATAGTTTGTTTTTACAAAGATTAGGGTTGACACATTGTGTTTTATTATTAAGATAAGAGTAAAAAGAATTGACAAGTATGATTTATAAATTTCCTCTCAGAAAAGAGTGATTTTTAAAGGTGCCTAATAATTGACTCGTGATTGAATTGTGTGTAATATAATATAGTATGCAACAGTATGGGGTTGTTAAATATTTTCCAAGTTATTTATTTAAATTATTTGTTTGATACTAATCATGTTATTCTAAGAATATGAATATAATTTATAAATTGGATTGTTGATCATCTTAAATTAAAATATTAAATGAAATACCATTATTGTGGACATAAAAAGATAAGTCTATTGTTATTCCATATTATGACAGTGATGAGTATATTTCGACACTTGTTATAGGAAGCTATACACATAATTTTATTTGATTAATTATTTTATCTTCTATCATATATCTCAGATACAAAAATCGTGAGATAAATTTTTTTTTAAAGTATCTTTTACTTTTTTTTATAATTATTTATTTATATAGATATATCCCAATGAATTGGAGGCACAGCCAGAATTCAATGGTTTTCGTGAATGGTTATTACCTTTCGATTTATACCGAGGTAAAAAAACGGGTGACGACATTGAAGATGATGCTAGAATAGTTGGAACTTTTAAAGTATTATAAACACTTAATTTAATGTCATTAGAAAAAATAAATTAAAAATTATTCGTTTTTTTAAGGGGTCAATAAAAGTTTATAAATGGCCATTACCTAAAGACATCGAAGATCATACAATCATGGGATTTGATCCGCAATATGGATTTTTTCAAGGTTTACCTTCTAATGATCCAATTCATGTTTTAGTCAGAGTATATATCGTTAAAGCCAGTGACCTTCATCCTATGGATATAAATGGCAAGGCTGACCCATATGTAGTTTTACAACTAGGCTCGAAAAAAATAAGCGATAAAGATAATTACATATCTAAACAGCTAAATCCTGTTTTTGGAAAGTACGTTTACAGTAAATTTTATATACCTACATCTCATCATCTCATACAATTTCATCATTGTTATGAATTAATTGTATTCAACAGATGTTTCGAAATTGAAGCCACGTTTCCACAGGATTCCATGTTAACTGTTCAAATTCTAGACTGGGACTTATTGGGGTCTGACGATTTAATTGGAGAGACTAGAATTGATTTAGAAAATAGGTTTTATAGCAGACATAGAGCTACTTGCGGTTTACCTAAAACCTATGAATTGTAAGTAAATCAATAGAATTATTTATTAAATAGTATAGAATATAAATTTAGAAATTATCAATGGTGTAAAATGATTTTACATTTGAAATATGTGTATGCTATAAATATAATAGCATACACATTATAGTTGTCTAATTCACATAAGTTAAACTATATAAGAAAATTTTTTCTCGTTGATTTAATATCATTATTTAATTTTTATTAAAATGGTTGAAATAATTAAAAAAAAAAAATGCCTTTCAAATATCCAATAAATTACTATTGATCATTATCTGTATTTTACAATGTATATCATTACTTTGATATAAATAATTTTTATTAGACTTGGATATAACCGTTGGAGGGATTCTATGAAACCTACTCAAATACTAGCAAAATTATGTAAAGAAGCTAAGTTAGATACGCCTAATTATATGAACGGTACGATTAAAATTGGCTCTAAAATATTTTGTCTTCAAAATAACTCTGAAGATACAATTGATTGGTACTGCGCAAAAGGTGAGTTTATATTATAATATGGTTTTTGTAAGTATATTGTTTCTAATAATTAAATGTGTGATTGATAGGTGTTGAAGAACATTTGGCTTTGGCTGTATTGCATAATTGGCATGAAATACCTAAAAGAGGTTGTCACCTAGTTCCTGAACATATTGAGACGAGGCCACTTTTTATACCTGATAAAGCTGGAATTGAAAGGGTATAAAACTCAAACATTCAATATTTTATATTTTATTTGTTATTATATTATTTTTACAGGGAAAGTTAGAAATGTGGGTAGATATGTTCCCAATGGATATGCCTCTTCCCGGTCCAGCCTTGGATATATCACCCAGAAAACCCAAATTTTACCAACTACGCGTCATTATTTGGAATACAGACGACGTAGTTCTTGAAGATGATGCTTTTTTTACTGGTGAAAAAATGAGTGATATTTATGTCAAAGGGTTTGTGCTTAAAAATATTATTTTCATATTAGTATAATATATACTGATATTTTATGATTATTTTCATTTGGTAGTTGGTTAAAAGGACCAGAAGACTGTCAGAGCACAGATATACATTATAGATCGTTAACAGGGGAGGGAAATTTCAACTGGAGATTTTTATTCCCATTCGACTACTTAGTAGCCGAAGAAAAAATAGTAAGTTCAAAAAAGGAATCGCTGTTCTCTTGGGATGAGACTGAAAGTAAGATACCAGCGAGACTTGAGCTTCAAGTATGGGACGCCGATCATTTTTCAGCAGACGACTTTCTAGGTAAATGCATTAATAATTAACCTTTAAATGTAAAAACAGCTTTAAATGTTATACTTTACTGTTAATTTCGAACTTCTACCTGAATTAGCCTGAACATAAATAAGTAAAGATTTTTGTTTACATTCTCTCAGGAGCTTTAACATTAGATTTAAACAACTTTCCTAGAGGAGCTAAATCATCAAAGCTGTGTACACTAGATATGCTAAAATCTGATGGATCTGTTCCGATGGTAAACATATTTAAACAAAAACGTGTGAAGGGATGGTGGCCATTTTATGTAAAAAAAGAAAATGAAGAAATGGAATTAACGGTTAGTTAAAAATAAATTTCTAATTCTCCAATTGTGTAGTTTCAAATAACTCAAATATTGATCTTTTATATTACAGTTTAATTAATATAATTAATAATTAATTTAAGATTTGCGCTACACTTTTTAATATTAATGTTTTCATTTTCGTTTTATTATAAAAATCAATTTACAGGGTAAAGTGGAAGCTGAGATACATTTACTCACAGCAGAAGAAGCAGAAAAAATTCCGGCTGGGATAGGTCGTAATGAACCTGACCCACTTGATAAACCTAAGTACAATAAATTATTATACATTTTTGTGGTTAATAAAACTATAATTAATAGTGTATTATAATATATTATTATTATGATAACATCAAAAGAATCAAAAGAAAAGTTATAAGTTATAAGAGTTGTCAGTTACAACTGGTTCATTCTGTATATATATTTTTATTTATCTATAATTTAAGCTGGTTTGACCATTAATTACAATATATTATGAATCGGATATTAAAAATTGAAGAAAAAAAATGTACTTATAATTTGCATTTGGCTATCAATACAGATATTCTTAATTGGATCTGTTAAAAAATCAATATTTCAGTACCAAAAATATTATTAATTTACATTTACTATTGCAAAAAAATACGAGTTAGTGAAAAAAACAATAACTCTAAGTATGAAAGAGCTGAAATAGGAGCATTTATATAATAAATTTGAAATAAATAATATGGAGTAGTGGTTATAATTAATAAACAAAATATGAAAACCATGGTTTCTGGTTTATAAATTTTATAATGAAACATTTAAAATTTTTTTTCAGTCGCCCTGATGCTTCATTTATGTGGTTCTTAAATCCATTCAAATCAATTCGATACATAATTTGGCACAATTATAAATGGAAAATACTTAAGGGATTTGTTGTACTAGCCATTTTCCTCATGCTGATTTTATTTTTTTATGCTATTCCCGGTTATTCTGTTAAGAAAATGTTAGGAGCTTAATCTGATTAAAATGTGTTTTTTTTTTTAATTGTGCAAAATATAAGAAATTATAATTTTTATTTCTAACATGAAAATCCAGAAAAAAAAAACATTTTAGAAAAAAATTGTAATATATATTATTAAGTTTTTTGTTATATTTATTTTATATTTTTTTTTAGTTTTTTATTAATATTTAAAATACATTTTTAATTTTAAACATTGTTATGTATCACACAATCATTAATAACTGATTGAAAATTTATAATTATATGATCATTTCAATTCAATTATATCTAATTAATTAATTTTACGCTACGAATTCAAAACATGTCAATTAAAGAAAAATGGTATAATATTAACTTAATAATGATATAACGTTAATAACACAGTTTATCAATTTTATACTAACTATGTAAAATAATATTCTATTGCAATAATTTAATTTTCAAAAAATTAATTATTATTAAAATTAAAACATGTTATTATTTAAAAAAATTATCACATAAATATCTATTTATGTGACATATAAATTTAAATTTAACTAGTTAAGTTTAAATAAAAAAAATATATGAGTCTAGGGCGCCTAAAATATTCCACTAATATTACGTAATTTTTTCAATTATTTAGTACGTATATTAAATATTAAAATGTATTTTAGTAATAGTGTTTTTATTATTTTATTGAATTTTTTAATTATAATTGTTTAAAATAATTAATAATATTGATGATTTGAGCTTATTTAGTATTCTAAATATACAATATACATGTAAAAGGGAGTATGGTGGGTTTTGTATTGAAAAAAAATATTTCTTTCTTCAAAATAAATTTTTTGGCGGAAATACTTGATGTTTTAAGCAGTAATATTTCTATGATAACACCAATTATATCTAATTTAAGTTAAATATATTAACTTTATTATGACTTTTATAAGACACAGTAACGTGTTTAGGGGTAATCAAAAGGGACAATGTCCCCGGGAGCATTTAAAGAAGCATATTATTTAAGTAAACTACCATTTTTTTAACAAATAAAAGGTATTTTTATAAATTTATATCTGTTTAACTAAAATTTTTAGGGCCATAAATACATTTTAAATACTATACTATACCAATAAGTATATTACACTTAAACAGCAATAGCTTAAATACACCTCTGGTGTAACGTTAATCATAACGTTCATTTTGTTTTAGAAGAGAAATATTTTAAGTTACTATCGACGTTTTATTTTCATTATTTCTAATTGTCTAGAGATATTCCTACAGCTATAAATAGCTAGCTATTTATGGATTCACTATTCAGCTAGTTTTTACATTATTATTTCACTAAAATTTATTGATAATAGTTAATATTTTATAAAAAGAAAATATAATTTTTTTCATTTTCGTTTTATTATATATTCATTTTTATAGTAATTTTAGTACCTAAGACATAAGATATTTCACATTATTTCATCAAAATTTACTTTTTCATAAAATAAATGTATAACAAGTAAAAATAAAACTTAAAGTTATTCTCTATATTAAATCGAAATAATTATTTAGTAATTCATAGTAAAGAATGTAAAAATCAAATAGTACAAACTTTATTATATTCTTCATAAATTCTGATTTTTTTTTGCTTAAATAATGAAAAACTATTCAATGTATTAAAAACTTAAAATGCAATGATTATAAGTGACATTATTTTAACAAAAAAGTTTAAAATATTGCATTAATTGTTTTAAATTATTTACGATTTTAGCTATTTTAATTACAATTTATTTACAAATTTAAATATCCAATAGAACAATAAATTTTTTCTAAAATTATTTTATAACTTTTAATCTTATCTTAATTATACTTAATTTGATTATTTTACTGATAATTTTTACACTTGTATTTATACGCCACTTATTATTATAAATATTATATCATAATTTATTTAACACATAATTTTATTAAGTGTTATAACCGTTTATAATTTAACTTTGGTTAGAGCAATACCATTACAATCATTGTTACCATTACTCACTAATGAAAATTTTTTAAATTATTATCGTTGTTTTGAAAAGTTAAAGTTATTGATATGTTACTTACTTTACTTAACTTTAAAATAAAAACTAATGTAATATTAATTAAATTGTGTAGCTGATTAATTTTTATAATCAAAGACTCATTAATAGTATAATATATTAAATGATTTTCAAAAAAAAATTCTATTTTATTCCCTTTCTGTGTTATATCTTTTTTTTTTTTGACAATATCATGTTTTTAAACAGCTTACAATTAAGAAAATGATATCAATAAGATATTAAACGGTCATTAACAACTTTTGAATCAGTATTGTTATAATTCAAAAAATAAAGGAAAACAGTTGGTAAAATATAAATAATGAAAATGAAAGAAGAATGATGGGTTTAGTGAGAACCTGATGTTGTGGTTCTATTGGGGTCGTATGGTTCGAGGGTTTAGAACAATAAAGACCAGTAGATATGAAGAAGTAAATGTATGTCCTCTTTATTGAGGAATATGAGCTAATAAACTTGTAAACACCTTTAATAGGACACTGAGGTAACGGGGCGATAATCCGACCTTCGAATACCCAGTCGAAGTGTCTATTAATATAGTCAGATACACATTAGGTTTTTAAACTCTTTTTAGGCACGGGGCGGTAATCCAACACTCGAGACCCTGTAATGTGTATATGTAGTAGGTGTGAACAAACTAGCAAAATTACTCTTGATGTTAAAAGGAGGTTATAGATCTATTGCTTTATCGTTCTTAACTCAGATTATTAACTCTAAATAAATGGGATAATATAAATTGACTTACCTTCCTATTCTGTAATGCTCAAGAAGATAAATGAAGTATTTACCAAAAATGCCAATTTTTACTCAATATTATTTATTTATGGTAATAATGTCTTAATAGACTAAAATAAGTTTTAAACACAAATAAGTTATACACAATAAAATAACTCAAACGGCAGCACGGGGCCGTGATCAAAATGTAGGAGCAAGAGTAGTTCGTAAGAACGAATTCACTTGACCTGGAGCTCTGGAGCTGTGGCAGTAGCTCGGTCTTTTCAATGGATATCAGTGCTTTTTATCAGTACTGAAGGGGTACACCCATATCCAGGGATATTGCCGTTTGTGCTATTCATGATTATATTTTATTGTTTTAAAGTATACATTACATGATAATTATATTAGATAATATAGTTGACAATAGATGAGTTGACATATATATAAATAATAAGAAATTGTATTGAACAGCATATTTGTTATGACAGATAAATTATTTGTTTCTTTACAAGTTGTTTAAAATGCAGATTATACATTTTTCATTGATAATTGTGAGATGCTTAGTGCAAAGTATTAAGCATATTACGACAGTATTTTTAAGATTATTATCCAATTATTAAAACTGGTATATTTTAGCTTCGATGCGAAGCTGAGAAGGTATTGGTTTTACTATGATGTGTTTTTTTTTTTTTTTTTTTTTTTTTTTGTGTCTGTTACCACTTTTTCTCAGCTCTCACCGAACGGATTTCTTTCAACGATACGTCAAAAGATCACAAATCGTATCTAGTCGAAGACATTACCCTTCAAAATTGAAAAAATTTCCCTCGTTCCCCGTAAAGGTGAAAGTTGACATCAAAGTTAATAAAAAATTAAATCGCTAATTTTCGAAATTTTTTCAATTTTTTTTACTAAAAACTGCTGTAACTTTTTCAAAAATGAACATATCAATATATTTTTTTTTTTATAGATGATTGATGTCATTACCTATCATTTGGTATATTTTTTTTGTAAATTTGACCTTTTTTCTGCCCACAGGGGGGGATTTAAAATGACAACTTTTTCACAAAAAATTAACTTTTTCAACTTAACTTTTGAAAATGTTCCGGAAAGTCTGACACTTTTATATATATCTTAAATTAAAGCTAATGTAATGTACTTTTATTTGAAAAAAAAAAAATTGACCTCTGGACTTGTCTTCATGGTGAAAACGGCTACCGAATGCTATTTTTGTGTGAAAATT